TGTCCAAAAGATTATTCCAACTTTATTTAATTGAGTTACAATATGAGTACGTTGTTTAATGATAGGCAAACATTTTCCAAAATGTTTGTATTTATTACAGTATGGGCCAAATAAATTATCGCCATAGTCTTGTATTAAGATTAGCATCTCTTTCTATGTAGAACTGCCGGCCCAAATTAAGAATTAAGCGAACAGCTCATTCCAGTAGAGTAACATTGGATTGTGGATTAGGATTATTGATTTTTTATGAGTTGTATATTTGAATCTCATAAAAAAAATTTTTCTTTATGTTTCCATTTCTCAATTAACTTGTAAAAATTGCAATATGTTAAAAAAAATAAAAAATAAAAAAGGATTAAGCTATAATAAAGAGATAATCCCAAATAATATAGCTACTATGAATTGAATCTTTTCTCCCGAAGACCCTCAATTACCACCCAAAATAAGTTAAATGTTAATTTTGATCCCTTAACTTTAGTAAGTTGCACACTTTAGTAAGTTACACATTTTTTGTCCCTCAATAATTTTTTACACTTTTTTGATCCCCAACTCTAAGAAATGCACACCGATCCTTTCATCAATTTGAACCGTTAACTCCACTCATGTGGCATTTTTTATATTTTTTTATAACATGGCGAAAACAACTTAAAAAAGTGTTGATCTGGACATTTTTTGATGACATGTCAACACAAACTCATAAATCAAATTTGATTAGTATTTATATTTTTAATAAAAAAAAATAAAAAATTACAAATTTACCTTAATACCCCTGTCTCCCTTTCTTGATCCATCTTCTTCCCCTCTTTCGATCCATCTTCTTCCTTTCTTTTTTATTTTTCTTTCTTCCTCTAGTTACTTTGTGTTGCTAGGTTCCCTCAAACCCAGCTAATCTGGGTCAAGGGAACCCAGCTCGGGTTCAAGGGAACCTAGCTCGGGTTTGATGGAACCTATTTGCTAGGTTACATCGAACCCAAATTTGCTGGGTTTGGAAGAGAAAAGCTGAGCAATAATTGGTCGACTCTAGCATTTCATACACAATTATCAGTTAGATTGATTCCAATGTTTGCTTTCTTTTGTGCATCTTGCATCCTTTTAGAATTGTTTAAAGAGCATGTCCAATTAGGTTCTTTAGATAGGTTTCTACCATGGTTTTTGAAAAGGATAAAAAATGGAGACTAACTTGGGCAAAAGTAAAGGCAGACTACATTTTCTGATTTCTGTATTCTTTTCCTCCAAAATCATTTTTCTTTCCAGCAATATGTGTTAAAATACTGATAAATTCATTGCAGATTTTTCTTCATTCCAACCTTATTAACTGGTTTTTCAAAACTTATGCATTGTCATTTCTCAAGCATTTGGAGCCTGCTAATATGTATTCTATAAGACTATAATTTTTGCTTGTTTGCATTAGTCGTAACTCATAAGTTGATTTCACATTTGCATGTATTTGTGTTTCCTTTTCAAATCCTTATTTTAGCATATGTGGATGAATATTGCATTACAGATCCATGTTTTCTCAGTTTCAATATTGATTCTTGATATTAAAGTCGTGATGAACCCATAACAGATCTAGGTTCGTGACAAACCTAGTCATGGCCAAGAAAGGGGATGAGTGGGAGGGGAGAAGAGAAACAGCGACAAAGAGAGGAAAAATGGCTAGAAACAGTGACAAAGAATTAAAAATAACAATTAAATCTAAGTTGGCATATACACCTAAGCTAATCGTATGATTTGTTATTGACATGTCATTAAAAAGGTGCCATTCTAGAATATTTAACTGCCAGCTGTGAGTTAACTGATGGAAGATCAAAATTGTGCAATTTTTAGAGTTAATGGATCAAAAAAGTAAAAAAAATAATTGAAGGACCAAAAAAATGTAACTCTATAAAGTTGAGGGACCAAATTTAACATTTAACCAAAAAAAACACTGTAGTGTTGAAGGCTAGGGGAGAACGGGGCAAAAGTTAATAGGCCGTCGTTCCCTCCTCCCCCTCTTCCTTGCTTCCTTAATTTATCTTTTTTTGTTTCACCTCTCATGAGCCTTCTTTTTTTTGATAAGTCCACCCCTCATGAGCCTACTCTTTTTCTCTGGTTTTTTTTTTTTTTTTAATAATTTCTCATTCCCTTCTCCTCCTTCATTGCTCCTCTTTATTATATTTTCTTTCATATTGTATCTTCCATCCCCTTTATTTTCTTTCCACTCCTTTGTTTAAAGCAAATTTGCTAAGATGATTTTCTCGCAAGTATGTTGAGTCCCTCGTTATAGAATTCAATGAACAACTAAGGGACAATAGTTAGTAATGGCAAAGGTGGGATTCAAAGGTAGTTGATGGATTGAAGGCGGAGAGTGTGGGCAATCACATAGGTGGATGGGAGATTAAGGCTTGTTTAGTTTAGGGAAGACCAATAGTTGGTATGTGAAAACTGTTATTTGTTGGATTATCTACTTTATTTAGAAATTGATAATTTCAGTGGAATTTTTAAGAACCTTTAATCATTTTATAGGATAACCCTTCTACTTATATAGCTCTCTTTTTGCCTCTATGGTGATTGTTTTTAGTCTTTACTTACAAATAACTTTTTATACTTATTTATCTAAATTCATTATGGATATAGTTTCAGTTTGTAATCTATAATTAGTATTACCTACAATTACATTATTTAAAGATTCTAATGTAATCTCTTTTTATTTTTTAATGAAAATCTCTATTTTCCAACACAAAAAAGATTAAGGAATAAATAGTAGTATTTTTTTAAGAGCAATATTTTTAAGGGTAAACATTAAAAGCATCATAAATGCAGGCTCTTACAATTAATTCACATGAAAAATTATAAAAGTTAACTTTTATTTTAACACCATTAATTGTTATGTGGATAATTTTAATTAGTTAATTAATTAAATTAAAGTCGATGTTTATATTTTTCATGCAAAATAATTATAAAAAAGTGTAATAAATAGATACTTAATATGTGCCCTAAGAATAAATATTAAAAAATTATTTTTCATACAACTTTACATATTATTTAATAATTAATTTTTTCACTTTATTAAAATTTATAATATTATATATAAATTCATATAATAACATACAAAATTTACA